GTCTGGAAAAGGCAGAGCGGAAGCTCGTGCGGGCGACCTTGGTCGGAGAACCCGCGGGTCGGCGTGGGGTGGTGAGGAGCCCACTGGGGCGGGCGAAGTTAGTGACTAACAGGCAGCCGGATTTCCTGACAGCCTCGGAGAGTTTCACAAAAATGAAAAGCTTTTGGTGAGGGTTTTGGCCTTATCTGGCGAAGAATTGGTGCGTCCGACCTTTTTGTTCCTTGTGTGAACCTTCCTGGCCGCGACGAGGCCTTCTCCTCCTCGCGCCCTTGGCCAGCTCTCCTCTGCAGTGGCGAGAAAGAAACATTTCCGAGCCTGCCGCGTCTCTTGCCTCGGTGGGTCGTACTCTCTCTCCCTGGGCGTGTGCAGAACAAAACTGGAACAAAGCTTGACTGGTTAGAGTTGGAGACCAGAAAACCAGATCCCTCTAGTGTTTAAATTTTCCGCACACGGAGAAGATACTGCCTCCCACCAAAACACCTGGGTCTCCTGTGAACCCTTTTGTATTTTCCATTCCCACTTTTGGGGGAAGGGACAGAATAGTTCATAACATAAGGCATTTTTTTCCCTTCTCTTTTCCCCACAGAATTAGGAATTAAGAAAACCTAAATAGTGTTTTGGTCCTCTATCTATGGAAAATTCAAACTGCCACTTTTTTCTTTCTCTAGTTTGGCATTCTGGTTGTCAGATGTTGGAAGGCAATAGGAAAAAACATATCCCTGTGGTTTTACATCCTTTCTGGGGTTCAGTGACTTGCCTGCGTCGATAGAGTTAAGCTGGAGCTTTGCTTTGAAGGATAAATAAAGCACAGCCTCTCAACTGGACATAAATGGATCTAAAGACAGCAGTGTTTAACGCAGCGCGGGATGGCAAACTCCGGCTTCTTAGCAAGTTGTTGGCAAGCAAATCCAAAGAGGAAGTTTCCTCCTTGATCTCTGAAAAAACAAACGGGGCCACGCCACTCTTGATGGCTGCCAGGTATGGACACCTCGACATGGTGGAATTCCTCCTTGAGCAGTGCAGTGCTTCCATAGAAGTTGGGGGCTCAGTCAATTTTGATGGTGAAACCATTGAGGGGGCTCCCCCTTTATGGGCTGCTTCTGCAGCGGGACATCTGAATGTGGTCCAGTCTTTGTTAAATCATGGAGCATCTGTCAACAACACCACTTTGACCAATTCAACTCCTCTTCGAGCAGCATGTTTCGATGGCCATTTGGAAATTGTGAAGTACCTTGTAGAACACAAAGCTGATTTGGAAGTGTCAAATCGGCACGGACACACGTGTTTGATGATTTCGTGTTACAAAGGACATAAAGAGATTGCTCAGTATTTACTTGAAAAGGGGGCAGATGTTAACAGAAAGAGTGTTAAAGGTGAGTTCAGTATCTTTGTTTTCATTTTTTTAGATGTCTGCCACTTAGAAAGTTTGATAATTATAAGCATTGGTATTAACATCGAGATGTTTTGATTAGGTGACTCTTCCATGTAACCTTGTTAAGTGTTGAATATTTGATAGTACAACGAACAAGTGTAATAAAAAGATGGTACTATAGTAAGCAGCATTTTCTCTCTCATTGGAGTAACTTCCAATTCTTGGGAATCGGTTTCCTACAATTACTGAGCATGTTAGTGGTAGTTGACTTGAGCCTTTAGGCTTATACTTGAATGTAGTTGTGAATATAGGTAAAAATACATTTTTCTTAAGCTTTTTATTTTTTTAAAGAACAACCTTAGAGTAGGAACTAAGTAAAGTTAGTAAAGTAAATTTAGTAAATACATCATCTTGTTTGTTTCTCCTTAGGCATTTCACTTGTTACTTTGTGGGAATAGGCTAAACCAAACTGATCTGAAGGGCTTAATATGAGTGGAAAAGAAAGGTATCTATTCACGGATTCCATTTTATTTGTGGTCAGTAGAAAATCCTTTTATGTAGAACATAAATACTATATAGCAAGAAATATAATAGGTTTGTGTGGGGTTTTTTTTAACTGCTTCTGTACTGACAAAACAAGGACTAGGTTAAACAAACATTGATTTGTTGGCTAGCAACAACATAAAGACCTTTGTTCCTAAAAAGTTTAGATTTACAATTGTGTGTAAATTTCACTGATTGTAATAGGGTAAAACAGCAAATGATAGTTTAGTCTTAAAACTCTTAAAAACAACTATTTTCATGGTGTAATTTTGACACTTGAAAACCATGTTTTTCTTAAATATCTTTGACAGCAAAATAATCACTGCCTAATTTAAAAAGCTGTTACATTTAGGAGAATACATAGATGTTAAAAAATGTTTAAATAGACAATATAAATTTTTTTACACTAAGAAATAAGTTGTCATGCCTGATTTCTAGACCTCCAACCCAGGATCCACTACTGCAGTTTTTGCCTTTCTAGAAATAGTCTGTGTAAAAGAAAACAAACTTGTCTGTGTTTCCGTCGCTTTTCCCTGTCAGTGTTGATACCTACTCTGCTGTCTTTATTTTTTTAACCATAATTTATCTTGGATGTCATTCACCTCTTAACACACATAGCTACCACATTCTTTTTTCATAGCTATGCAGTATTTCTCATTTAATGATTGTACATATTTTATCTCATCTCTATTCATGGATATGTAGGTCACGTTCTTGCTAATTTAAACAGTGTTTCTTTGAACCTTCTTGAACAAAAATGTGTCTTTGCCACCCTTGTGTTAGAGTAGCTGTAGTATAATACCTGTACTTGGAATTGTTGAACCAAGGTGGTGTGTGCTTATAACTGTGGTAATGTTTGGATTGCCAGCCCAGTTCTCTGGGTTGTTGCCTTTCAGAGATGATAAATTACACAGTTATGGGGCTCTACATATTTAACTGAGCATATTTACTTAAGATGGTATGATCTTTTTTTTAAAGGGTTTTTTGTAAAAGTGACCCATTTTCTGAATTTTTTCACTACTATTGTAAAAATTTCACAAAATCCCAGCACTCAGATCAGCCTTCCAAAGCTATTTCTGTATTTTGTATTCAGAAATGTGTGTGTGTGTGTGCATGTATGGTTTTTTTCCATGCTGTATACCCATGTATATACCTGCAAATATAACCTGTCTTTTTTAGAAAATGTTTTATCTTTAATGTCTAATTCTCTTCAATAACTGTATACTTTCCTAATAAGAGTTTTTTGCATTGCTTCTGATATTCTTTTTTTTTTTTTTTTTT